ACAACGTCACCAAAGCACAATTGACTTTAACTTGTTTTAAAAATTCAGAGCAAAAAATCGAGAGAAGAAAGCTATTACGTCTTAGATTAGTTCTGATTTCAGGAAACTGTTCTTTGTTGATGCCATATACTATCAATTTTCAAGTGGCGTTTTTTTCTTTTTTTTCTAAGAAGGGTTTTTTTAAGAAATTTTCTTCTGATTTCAAATTTCTTTTTGGATATTTTCTTCAAGCTTCAATGTTACCATCATTTTTTACAAGAATTAACAGTCTTTTGTGCTTCATATCTACGTATAGTCAAATGTTGTTTTCTGCAATATGTTTTCCACTTACCATACATCTATATAAACTGCTAAAAACAGAATAGTTTTATTTGATTATTTTCTGACAGAATTTAAAAGTTGATGCAAATTTATTTGATAAGTGAATCATTTGTTACCTAATCGAGTTTCTTGAAAAAAGTTTTTAAAAAAAACTAGTCGCTTTGGGGTTTAATATCTATTTTTATTTTACAAAGTTAGTTTATAGTTGTTTGTCGATATATAATTTTTAAGCTTTTGACTTTCACACGTTTACAAATTTAACTGATTTACAAGTATTTGTCAGGAAAAGTAACACTTGCCACACTAATAAAAGTTTTTTATTTGCAGCGACATTTTGTTAAATTTTTTGCATATTTAATATTCTTAATTTTCTTTTTGAAATTTATTCAGAAATTGAAAGGGGATCTTTCGCTATTCTCAGCTATTTGAAAAATGAAAAAAATGTTATTGCTGCAACCAGTTAAGAAACTAGGAGAGTATCTGTGAAGTTTTTTGTGGAAGAACAGACTATATAAGCATAGTCTCTAAAGTTTGTAAACAGAAATGGCTCACTAAAAATTAAGCATGCTACAGGAATGTTACCTCGATCTGCTAATCAGAAATCAAGAGTGATTTTTATAATTAGCTTAGAAAGAACTACGTATAAAATGTTTATGAAAATTAAAATTTCGCATTAAAAATCAGTTAAGATTTATATGCTCTAGAAAAGAAGATAGTAGAGCATAAGATGGCATACAAATACATAAAGTTGTTGACGATTTTAATGCACTGCAAAAGTGATCTGTTTTTACAATAACAATTTAAATCTGACAAGAAATAATTATTGGGCGACAACTGATGAAGGAATAAACAGTAGTTGAGCTTCGGTTACAACATAAATAGATTTTTATAACTTTTAGATAGTACGTAAAGTTTGACAGAGCATTTCCAGAGTAATTCGCATAGGCTTTATGAGTGCTGGTGACTATTTACTGCACGAAAATGTTGTTAGAAGCAGAAGACAAATGTAAAATTCAAGTGAACTGCTTTTGGGGCCCTTATCCAGAAATGAAGTACTGTTACTGTTAGTATATCGCAATTACTCTTTCGAAACTTTGTAAAAAATAAATAAAAAACACAAATAAAATCTCTAGTTTTTTTGCTCACTTTATAAAACTTCAGACAAACTAACAACATTCTTCATTTTAGAAGCTTTGAACTATCTATCTGTAAATGGGAAATTTCATGTTTCAGCACATGTAAAAGCTGCCCATATTAAATTTTTCGCACCTGAGCTTTCAGGGTTTCAGGTTATATAATACTAAAAGTTTATTGTACATTTTAAGTTTCGGTAAAGTTTTTTTCTATAAAATGTTGTCAATTTAATAAAATAAGCTACATTAACTGTTGCGTTAAAAAAGTTGTAATTTTTTATGACTTTTTAAAGCCAAAAAACAGTCATATACATGTTATTTCAAAGTCAAGAGGCATAATTTTGAAGCAATT